TGATAACATTGATTAGTGAATTGTGGGTTGTAAGATTGGACGTAGCAGGAAGGGGTTACCGGAGATTCTGTAGGGGATTTCCAGGGTTTCAGTATGACACAACAGCTGAAATTTCCATTTATGATCATCATGAGGAGTCCTGGGAGAGCATTGCACATAATGTGTTTTACAGTGAGATCCATGAGGCGGACATGGGGGAATGCGGCCTATTCATCTGTCACTTCCTGCCACAGCTGCACAGTAACCTTGTACTGCGCCGGGATGGCTGAACAGACTGCGAATGAGACCTGACACCGGGACCTGTGCAGCACAATGAGGAATTCTGCACATGGCAGACAAAGCACAGATCCAACAAAGAGCCGGGATCTGATCATAGGTCATCTTCCATGAGCACACATTTACAGTGGCCACCTGACCCAAAACTGGCATTTTATTCTTGGGTTGATGGTGGGGAAATAAAGCCGAACTAAACCCACTGCGGGTCCCCAGAGGATTTGCGCAGTTTACTTGCACATGATATGGACTTAATGTCTTCCCTTCTTCTTCTGACTTTTTCCCCTTTGGCCATTCGGTGGCCAGCAGCGATGTAACCCCGGTGTATATGAACTAGAGTTGCATCATCCTAACACTCTGCTCCATTCTCTGCATCTTACAGATGCCAGGAATGGTCAGGGAATGTATGCTGCACTGTGAATGCAATGCAGACGTCAACCAAACCTCACCCGAACAGAGCCAGCTTTCTATTGGACCAATCCCTTTGCTCCCCCTCCGCTGCAGAAGTCTGAGGTCCCACGAGTCATCACATCTATGTATACACCATGTATAGGAAGTGGCTGGAGTTCTGCTTTAAGTGACACTCTAATAGTGCTCTCCTTTGCTTATGTCTGTGAAGGTTCTCATTCATCCAGGTCATTGTATATCTGTAAAAAATAAGTCAAGGCAACTGGACCTGCTGTATTTTTCTTCAAGACGTTTCACTGGTCATCCAACCAGCTTTCTCACAGACATAAGCGAAGGAGAGTCCTATTAGAGTGTCACTTAAAGCAGAACTCCAGCCAAAAAAGCTATACTCACCTGAACTGCGGAGCCAGCCGGCTGTCATATCCATCCCACTTGCCTGTCTCTTCCTCCGCTGCAGCGATGGTATATCCCTCTGCGTCCTCACTTCCTATACGTGGTGTATACATAGATGTGATGACTCGTGGGACCTCAGACTTCTGCAGCGGAGGGGGAGCGAAGGGATTGGTCCCATTATGCAAGCGGAAGGGATATCTGTAAAAAATAAGTGAAGGCAACTGGACCTGCTGTATTTTTCTTCAAGACGTTTCACTGGTCATCCAACCAGCTTTCTCAATTCAGTATTCTGAATTGAGATAGCTGGTCGTATTCTGAATTGAGATAGCTGGTCGGATGTTCAGTGAAACGTCTTGAAGAAAAATACAGCAAGTCCAGTTGCCTTGACTTATTTTTTACAGATATCCCTTTCGCTTACATTATGGGAGGTGAGAGGAGGGTCAGAGGAGCTGGACCAGCTCAGACCGTAATTAGACTCTTGCAGTAAGTGGAGAGAGCCGTGCAAGCGAATACAAAACGGAAAGGAAAAACATTTCAAGTAGGGATTTGAAAATTTGATTTTTGTATGATATTTTTTTTGTTTTGTTGTTGTTCCCTAGCTGATGACAGAGTCTCCTATAGGATTTGTAATCTTGATATCTATCTGCATTGTGCATCAGTTTGGACAATAAGTCAGTCACTATGGGTAGATGACACCTCATCCTAATGTTTTTACCTTTTTGTAGTTTTTGAGGTGACTTACAACTTTCACGCTCTTACTGTCCCATATTTGCATCGCAAGCTCAGGTTTGCAGATTGTCCCTCCAGCGGCTTTGTGTTCCACTTTACTGCATGATAGTCGAGTGCACGGAGCAGGTCACTGGAGGTAAGAAATCTACTTTTAGAACACGGAAGCTTCTAAGGACCTAATGACATGGTGTCTGTTACAGGCTAAGCCGGAAAGAAGATCAGAAATATTACCGGCCGCCAATAGTCCGTATAGTAGATGTTACAGCCAGCGTTACTGATGGCCATCGGTCGTTTCTAAACCAGCCGATCCTCCAATTAAAATATACCCCAGCGACGCCGCTGCTCTTCTGTGTTTATTATATCAGCTCTTATAGTTCTAAAAGATAGCCTTCTGTCTTTATGGCCCCCAAATTTGGCTCCAGTGGTGCCCGGTGGCCCCAAGTGTATTGGCGACGACTGTATGTCACAGACCGGTGATCTTTTACCTACCTATGGAGGTCATCTACCGCCATGCCTCTCTGCTGGTAAGGCCTGGTTCACACCTAGGCGTATTGCATATGCGCGTTTCGAGGTAAAAAAAATTGCACGACAAACGCGTGTTTCCGAAGGCTACTTGGCTGTATCCCAATGGAAACGCGCAACAAAAACGGCCCAAAGTAGTACCTGTACCTTTTCAGGCGTGGGCCGTTTTGTATAGCGTTCGGACGGGCGGAAATACGGCAAGGTGTGAACCAGACCCATTGAATACAATGGGATTTGGATGTTTGAGCGTTTTGTAGAGCGTTCGTCGAGCGTAGAACGCGCTACAAAACGTTCAGGTGTGAACGAGGCCTAAATTAAGATGCGGGCGGCATAATGCAATTGGGTCATAATGGTAGCCCTAGTTGACTAGATATACTGAGGACAATTGATAGGATGGAAAGGCGGTGCTTAGCCCCCAAAGTCAGGAAAGTCGTGACTTTTGTAGCAAGGTAAAAATGGGCTCAGACGGTTACACAGAAGACACTCTGGTCATAGTGGGCACCTGTGAAGTTTGCTGTCTGCCTGGAGTTTCACTTTTAATATGTTTAACACGTTCCTGCCGATCTGGCAGCTGTTCTGTGCTGAGAACAGCGATTGGGCTCCCATCAGGTGACAGCTGTAACAGCCAATCAGGGAAGACTATCTGGTGTTAAGATGTAAAGGGCCACTGGGAGTCAGCGCCAAGGGATTAAAGCAATAGAAAGGTTCTCTTTAACCTCTTAAAGCTAAACTCTTAAAATAATGGAGTCTTAGAGGAAACGGGTTAAATGATGGTGTCAGTCATTTGAATTGGAAGACTGGCGACAGTGGTGGAAAGCGTATGCTGCGGGAGACTGTTCCGAGTTGAAGATGAATATTGCAGCAAAAGCTGTGGTTAGAGCTTCTGTCTTCCAGCACTGGGGGTCCCTGGTTCGAATCCAAGCCAGGTCACCATCTGCATGGAGTTTGTATGTTCTCCCTGTGATTGCGTTGTTTTCCTCCAAGGCCGGATTAACATAAGGGAGGGTGGAGCTCCAGCTCCAGGCCCGCCTCTGCAAATAGACACAGAGTTGCAGCCAAGCTGTCCTGGATCGCGGCTGGGACGAGCTGGCCATGCAGCAGCGGCCCTCTATTCAGGCATATCAGAGGGCCCTCTGATGTGCCTGAGCATAGAGCCGCATTTGCTATGGCTGCATCCGCCAGTCTCTAACCCCCACCCCTGGGGTCCACACTGACCCCCCCTGGATCCCTCACTGGCCCTCATAGAGCCGCACTGGTCACCTATGAACCCGAACAGCTTTCTGAGAGCCTGCACAGCCCCCCTAAACCTGAGGTGGAGAGGTGAGAAATCATGGATGAATAAATCACAGGTGAATCGCATCCAACCCTCGCCGATGACATCACATCATTCTTAACCCGAAAGTGAGTTTCTACACACCACCCCTGTGATTTATTCATCCATGATTTCTCATCTCCCCCATTCTCTACCTTTTCCGTCTGATCCCCAACCACCCAAGCCGGGAAGTGTAACACCTTTTTGCCTCATCATCAGTCACCGTCAAGCTCACCCGTTACATCAGCAATTAACTAAGAGTCACCCATTGGTTCACACCATTTCTTCCCCCCCCCCCCCCCGCCGTGGGCGGTTCTTCCCCCT